TTTTTTTGAGGACATGGGCAAGCTCCCCAGTTCTTAGGAGAAGCGCCTGGGTGCTCTGTTTCCTTCTGGCTGGGGTGGGTGAACTTGAGCAGACTTGTTGGCATCCCAGCTATTGTCCCATGTCCAGTGATTGAGTGTGCTGGTGTATACTGGAGCTCCTCCATTTGAATGGATGACCCTGGGTTTCTCTTTCCTCTTTCCTAGAGGCCAAAACTCTTCCTGGGTCCTTGCTTCCCCTGGTTGGGGGATGGGTTGGTGGTGATTGGGAATTTTCCTTTTTATCCTATTTGGGTATTCTGGGTTTCTGCACTATGTATCTCTCCCCGGATCAAGGCAGTCACATGGGCTGCACATGTACCTCCCATCCCCAGACATGCTACTGTGTGTGGCAGGGTAATTCCCCTGGTGGGTTGGGCCACTGGGTTGTGGGTCTGTGCTTGCTAACCTCTTTCCCCAGGCTCTGCCGGTGACTCTTCTTGTGTCAATGCAATTGATTGATTGGTGGACTACCTGAACAGCAGCAGTGGCTGCTTCTGCTGTGTTGAGCCACGATTGTGGCAGCTGTGGCTGTGGCCGACCACCCATGCAGCAGTGGTGTCTGTGGCAGTGACAGGGCCTGACCTTGGATGCTGATATCCCTGGGCACACTTCTGCCATCTGCATGAACATCTTTTCATGTGCATTTTGGCCAATTGAATATTTTCTTTGGAGAAATGTCTATTCAGATCCTTTGCCCGTTGTAAAAATTGGGTATTCCGTCTCTTTATTATTGAGTTGTAAGACTTCTTTAAATATTCTAGATACAAGTCTCTTTAAGATATATGGTTTGAAAATGTTTTCTCCCAGTTCTGTGGTTGTCTTTTCACCTTCTTGTAAGTTTGATGCATAAAAGTTTTTAATTTTGATGATGTCTAAATTATGTTTTATTTTGTAATTGTTACTTCACTGACATATCTAAGAATCCACTACCAAATCTGAGGTAATGATGTGCGCCTACGCTTTCTTCTAAGGATTTTTGTTTTTGTTTTTGTGGCTTGCCGGTATGGGGATTCAAACCCTTGATCCTGGTGTTATCAGCACCACTCTCTAACCAACTGAAATAACTGGCCAGCCCTCTTCTAAGGGTTTTACAGTTTTGACTGTTATATTTAGGTCTTTGATCCACTTTGAGTTAATTTTTGTATATACTGTTTCAGTAGGGGTCCAACTTCATTTTTTGGCATGTGCCTATCCTGCTGACCTAGCACCATCGGTTGAAGACTATTCTTTCTAATTTTAATGGCCTTGGCACCTTTGTTGAAAATCAGTTGACCACAGACACGTGGGTTTAGTTCCAGACTCTCAGTTCTACTTCATTGATCTATATGTCTATCTTTATGCCAGTATCACACAGTCTTGATTTTTGTTGTTTTGTAGTAAGTTTTGAAATATGAAAGCGTGAGTCCTTCAACTTTGCTCCTTTTTCCAGGATTGCTTTGGCTATTATGAGTTCTTTGCAATTCCATATGAATTTTAGAATCAGTTTGTCAATTTCTACAAAGAACCCAGCTGTGATTCTGAATGGGATTGCATTCAATCTGTAGATCAATTTGGGAAGTATTATCATCTTACCAATATTGTCTTCCAATTCATGAACATGAGATGCTTTTCTATTTATTTAGATCTTCTTTAATTTCTTTCAATGATGTTTTATAGTTTTCAGGATATAGGTTTTGCACTATTTAATGCTGTTGTAAATGGAATTGTTTTCTTATTTCCATTTTCAGATTGTTTTTTGCAAGTGTATAGAAAAAAATTGCTTTTATATATTGATCTTGTATTCTGCAACTTTGCTGAACTTGTTTATTAGGTCTAATTGTTTTTTAATGGATTCCTTTGGATTTACTATGTATGTAGTCATGTTATCTGCAAATACAGATAGTTTTACTTCTTCCTTTCCAGTCTGGATGCTATTTATTTCTTTTTCTTTTTTTCCCCCAGCTGTTCTGGCTAGAACCTCCAGTGTGATGTTGAATAAAAGTGGAGAGAGCAGATATCCTTGCCTTTTTCCTGATCATAAGAGGAAAGCATCAGTCTTTCACTATTAAGTATCATGTTAGCTGTGGGTTTTTTGTAAATGCCCTTTATCAGGTTGATGAAATTTCCTTCTATTTATAATTTTATTTTATTTATTTTAAATCTTGAAAAGGTGTTGGATTTTATCAAATGCTTTTTTTACATCTTTTGAGATGATTCAGTAGTTTTTGTTTTTATTCTACTGATGTAATGTATTACATTAACTGATTTTCAGATATTCAAGTCTTGAAAAGGTGTTGGATTTTATCAAATGCTTTTTTTACATCTTTTGAGATGATTCGGTAGTTTTTGTTTTTATTCTACTGATGTAATGTATTACATTAACTGATTTTCAGATATTCAAGCAACCTTGCATTCTGGAGATAAATCCCACGTGATTATGGCATATGATCTTTTTTACATGTTGATGGATTTATATCCATATTCTTAAGAGATATTGGTCTTTAGTTTTCTTGTGATGTCTTTGTCTACTCTGGGTATCATAGCAATACTGGCCTCACAGGATAAATTGGGAATCACTCTTTCTTCTATTTTTTGGAAAAGTTTATGAAGATTTTGTATTTATTCTTTGTTATTGTTGTTGTGGCTGGTTGATATGGGAATCTGAACCCTTGACCTTGGTGTTGTCAGCACCATGCTCTACCAAATAGGCCAACCAGCCAGCCCTTTCTACTTATGTTTTAAACGTTTGGTAGAATTTGCCAGCACAGCCTTCATAGCCTTTGTGGGTAGATTTTTGATTATTAACTCAATTCTCTTTACTTGTTATAAGTCTATTTAGATAATCTATTCCTTCTTGAATCAGTTTCAGTTGTTTGTGTCTTTCTAGAAATCTACCTATTTCATCTAAGGTATCTAATTTATAGGCATGCTCCCCACTCTTCACTTTTTTCCCTGTATAGTCCATTCTCCAATGGACAGCCAGAGTGACTTTTTAAAAAATGCAAACCTGATCATGATATACCCTGCTTACATCTCTTCCAGGGCTACTCTCTGCTCTTGGGCCCATATCCTTAATGCTGCCTATAAGGCCCAGCATGGCCTGGCCTCCATCACCTCTCCGGGTTCATTACCCTCACAGAGCTATTTTTCCTTTTGTTCCAGCCACGTGGAACTATTCGCAGCTCCTAAATACACCATGTGTCACAGGTGCTGTTTCCTGTGCCAGGATCTCTTCCTCTGGTGAACTCCTGCTTCCTCTTCATGACTCAAATTAAAATGTCACTTCCTTTGGAAAAGCTTTCCTGACTCAACTCAACAACTCCTGTGTTCCCCAGGTCCCCTCCCTCTCTTGCAGCACACACCTCTGTATTTTGTTTGTTTACATGTCTGTCACCCCACAGGTGCGTTTTCGTTTACAGGTCCATCCCCATCAGGGACAACTTCTTAATCTCCACACCCTGGACCTGGGAATATCCCTGCAGTGAATATGGATCTGAAATGAGGTTTAGTTCTAGCAAATCCCATCTCCTCACTCCTACAGAACCTCCCATTTAGTCCAGTTAATTTCTTCCTCTTAAATTCATCCCCACACTCCAATCATTCAAGTGTTTTGGGAACACAGATTCTGATAATCACCTCCCGCCAAATTCTTGCATTTGTATACAATGACATCAACTGACACTGAGCGCTTACTGTGTGCCAGGCCCAGTGCTGTGAAAGATGTGCCTGTGTGATCTCATTTAACACTAACAACAATGAGGTAGTTATCACCAATCCCATTTTTCAGAAGAGAAAACTGAAGCTCAGAGAGGTTAAGTGACAACCAAGGCCCGCAGACAGTAAGTGATATAGCAAGGACTTGAACACAGGTCTGTGTGATTCCAGAATCTGTGCTCTTAACTACAGTGACCTAACAAGTAATGCCTTCTTTGATTTCATCTGGTTCACTGAAAGAATGTGTGAAACACGACCAGCCTTGTTTCCTAAGAACCAGTGGGAAAAATATCTGAGACCAGCCTGAGCAATCTGAAGGGTGGGCAAGCACAGACACCACATGGCAGGGGGTGGTATGTGACTAACTTTCAGGACAGGGAGCAGGAACCCAGGAGAGAAGTACTTCCCAGAACACTTTGAGACCCTGAGCAAGGCAAAGGAATCCTACCATGGCTGGCTGAAGTGACTAACTTTCAGGACAGGGAGCAGGAACCCAGGAGAGAAGCACTTCCCAGAACACTTTGAGACCCTGAGCAAGGCAAAGGAATCCTACCATGGCTGGCTGAAGTTGGGAGTGGACTCTGACGTCCTCCCTTGGGCCCACAGGCTGGGCAGTAAGGTGACTACCAACCCAGGGAAGGCTGCCTAGAAGCATAGGGGAAAGGATGAGGAGTGTAGGGAACTCAAC